AAAAAAATTCTTTTTATATAATCTGTCTTCAATGTATGAAGAAGCACTTCCTGTCATCAAAATAGTATATTTGCTGGTGAATATGAAAAATTCTATTGACCAAGAAATCTCAAGTTTTTTTTATATCTATCCCTACTTTCATTTTTCTCTAGTTTTTTTTTTTTTTTTTTTTTTTTACTTTCATTCAGTCCTTTCTCTCTTATACTTTCTCTTGCTCTTCTTCCTTTCCTTTAACAATTTTCACAGAGAGAACAGTTACTACGCAGAGCTGCTGATCCAACACTTTTGATGGTTACTATGCTACTTTTTATTAATTTTGTATTTTTTTTCCTTTTAATTTTCAGATTATCTTGAAGAAGAGAGTTCAGCTAATGTTTCCCAGGAAGTAAAACAGATTGTATCGAGGCTTGTGGAAGATCAACTTGGAGAGTCTGTTGATTTGGTAAGTAGGGACCTTTGGTAAATAATGTTTAACGTCAGTTAGATCATAAATCCGTCATATACAACTTTCACTTCTTAGCCACTTCACTTGTTTCTTTGTCCTAAACCCTATATATAGCAGTTCTTGAACACACTGCACTTTTATGTATAAAACAAGCATTCACAATTATCCCAACCTTTCACTTAAAATGAACCTTTAAATGGAATGGGCTGTGATAAAAATAAAAAAATAAGCAGGCTGATAAATTATGGGAGATTAGAACAGTTTTAGATCTTATTAATGATCAGTTCTGAAGTAAAGGAAGTAAATTATTACAACTTCCTGTTCTAGAATGTCTTAACCAATGTTAACAATTACATGATCCTACCAATTAAGGAGTACCACTTGAATTACCCAACTTAGACTAAAGATACATAATTTTTGAAGACAAAGTCCTGAATTCATACAAATATACAAAACTTTCCAAGAAAGGTGTACCTTTTTGTTTGAATTTCATCCAAATTTAAAATAAACTTTTTTTCGCCTCTTGTGTGTATTCCTGTTAAGCTTATACTTTATCAGTAAATGTCCAGATTGATTTTGGGGGTAACATCTCTTTGCTTCTTTTACTACCTGGGCAGATAAATTCGTTATACCAAAGTGGTTGATTCAAATTCTCACTCAACCCCTTTATTCATCATCAACCATTGCTAAAAATTCAAAATTGTATATTTTTCACATATTTATTTATAATATGATAAACAACCCTCAAGTTATTTACATTATTCACATGTGGATTATTTTTTTCATCTTTATTATTATGTTTCGGCTGTTGTATCCTCCAGCCTTCATCAGATGCTTAATAATCTGGTTAACCTTTAGGGGATTTTGAACTGAGCTTATTATTATTGGCTAATTGTTCTCATTTTTCTGCCCATGTCTAAGGATATCTCATTTTATTTATTTATTTTATTTATTAAATCCAGGTCCACATTCCCAGGCCCAGGGATTGAACTTAAAATTACTATTTAATTCTCTAGGCTGGGACAACAGAAGTGTTGATTTGTGAATTTGGTGAAATAAAAAGTTCAGTTGAAATTTCCACAGAGTCCAAGTACACACTGTTTGGCCCATAGACTGAACTCAGAATTACTATGTCACCAAATTCACAAACCAATGCCTTAATCAACAAGGCAATTGTCTTGGAGCCTTAAACCTAACCTACCTGCTGATTTTAGAAAATTTTAGAATGATTAATACTTTTATTGCTGATATTTATGCCTGGATCATTTGAGTGAAAACTTGGAAAGTTAGGGATTCTCATTATTTGTTACCATTGGTTTTTTTATAGAAATTATTTCCACTTCAGAAAATTGCCTTGGATACAATATTACATATATGAAAATGTCACAATTACAGACAATATTTACATTGTTTATCTGATAAGATATTTGAAAAGATATTGAATATTTTTGATAACCTTTTGTGAATATAAAAAAGAAAATGCTTCTTAGAAATATCTAACAAATCTATTCATTCTGTTAAAATTCCAATCAATTTCTTGCAAATGATATCTTTGAAGATTATTAAATATTTTTAGATATTGGTGCAATTTTGTTAGCCATAATTCGGCAAACCTGCCTTGAAATTTATATTAGCTTGAGGCAAATGTTTCCAGTTTCATCTTTTGCATAATGTTGGGGAAATATAACTTTATTCTTGTGTTTGTATAATCTTTAAGAATTATTGACAGAAAAGTGATAATTTTACTTTATTTTGGTGAAAATTATGGCTTCAACATTTGAAATTTGTTTTTACTCTTCATATTTGTGGAAAAATGAAGTTAAAGCTGATGCAGTAAGTGAAAGCATGGGTTGAGAATGGTTTGTGAAGTTTAGAAAAAAGACTTTGAGCAAAAGAATTCTTTGGAAGATTTAGTAACCTGAAGACTGATGAATTGAAAGAATTTCTGAAAATGGTACCTGACACATGAAATTTTCAACTCACCTCCCCAAATTAGATAAATTAGTTAATTTTATACATCATTTACAAGATTGAAAAATGAGTTCCACATCAAACTTGGCAAAGAAACATTGGTGAACTTTTAAACAATTCATTAAAATATTCATTGGGGATGAGGAAAAGATTTATTAAAAAAAAAAAAAATATCTACAGGGTGAAATGGGTAAATTGTCACCATTTTATATTTTTAATTTTGCACGTGTGTTGCTTGTTGTTGACTTTGTCAACTGCACAGTATAGTAAGGTCACCATCTGTGAGAAAAAGAGCACCATGATACAATTCAATCTGCCAGAAATTTGGAAACAGCTTGCTGTACTACTTGGAATTCATACCAGAAGCTCCAATACAGACATTTCAGAGTGTTTGGGTGTCAATCCGACGACAGTGAAAAGGATTTGGAAAGAGTTGAATGAGTGTAATGGTGATTACAAAGGTACGGTAACTCGGAAAACTCACTCTGATCATTCTGATGAGAAAAAAACACCCAAATTTGATGGTGAGGGCTTCAGGCTCAACACAGAGACCTACATCAAGTGCCTTGAAGAGTTAGTACTGCCGTAGATCAAGAGGGTGGCGGCTGTATGACCCTATCTCTTGCAGCAGGACTCTGCATCATGCCACACAAGAGAACTGAGTCATGACTGACATACAATTTCTGCAACCACATCACCCCTAATATTTGGCCACCTAACTCCCCCAGACTGCAACCCACTTGATTATGTGTGGGGTGCAGTTGACAGACCAATGAAACTTTTTGTAACACCAAAGACAAATTGATGTGCAAGAATTATGGCAGCATTCGCCAACTTAAACAAGACTGTCCAGAAGAGTTGCAGGGGATTCCAAAGTTGTCTGGAGGCTATGGTTGAAGCCAATGACAATTTTTATTGAATAAATTTACTTCAAGATATTTTGGTAAATATATCTGTTGTCAGTGTGATTTTCATTTTTGCATAATTTAGATGACAATTTATCTATCGCACCATGTAGATCCATAACCTTTCAGCTTAAATGCAAATTGTTCCTGGGGATTCTAATGAAATACTTTGGTACAAATTACTGGAATTTGGTACTGTGAGCAATTGGCTTGTTTGAATGAAGCATTGAAAAAGACAATATAATTCTTGGCTTGGAAATTGACAGATGATTTTGTTGTAGGATGATGTCCATGCAACTGTTGCAAATGCTCATGAAGCTGGGATAGGAAGTTCTTCCACATTCACTATCATTTATTCCCCCTTTGTAGCACTCATTGTCTTGTCAATATTTTTGAGTTCAAACTTTCAAAAAATTCCTTGAAGAATTTGTCAAATCAAAATTTGAATTGTTCTTTACTTAATGTAGAATTTACTTGAAAGGTCACATAAGGTCATAGAAATTCAAGGAAAATACTTTGATGACTGAATAATGATGCTATGAAATTTATTTAAATAAGATTGTCAAAAGATTTTGTTGTATCAACCAAATACTTAAGCTGGCCAGGGCAAAGAAAACATCTTCCAAAATATACATGTTTGCATAATGTACATTTTTGTGTATTGTGCATAAGTGAATGACTTGCTTTTGAATGTTTTCTTGAGGACAGTCCTAGCTATTGATTAAATTTTAATGTAAGGGTTCTTAAATTGAAATGCTTTTAATCAAATAAAAGCATTTCAAATCATACTGACATATAATACTGCTCCATTTTCTCTTTTCATGTTTTTTGCTTGACTGAATACTATCAAGATTCAAAATGGCTGAACCTATCCTACCATTACTTGCAAAAACTGTGACCCAAATATTCATCTATTTGTTCCTTTAGATTTTATTTATACTTCCATTTTTAATATTTAAAAAGCAGATAAGAAAAACACTATTCAAATTCCATGAATGAAGGAAGCATTTCTTGCATTAAATCTAAATAATGCTTATCTTGTATATTTTTCCATTGTCTGATTTCTATTTGCACTATTATTTTATCTATATTTATTTAGAATATGATAAACAACTTTCAAATTGCATGATAAAATCTTTCTCAACGAATAAGTTATTGTAAATATCAATAATAAAAATATATTAGCTGAAATTCACATGGTATGTTGATTATATAAATATATCCTGAAAATTTTACCAACATTGGTTGTTTAATACTAATTTTATTATGACATTAACTTGCATAACAGTGTAAAAGGAACAATTACTATTTAATTATATTACTAAGAGTAGCTAACAAAACCAAGATAATTGAGTTGGATAACAGTCATTGCCTTTACTTCAAATTAAGTGAGTGGATAACAGCTCAGAATGAGAAATGAAAGAGCAGAGTTTGAGTTTCAGTTAAGTTCATTACACATAAATACCTTTAGAAAAAGTATGAATCCATCTCTACTCCTCTTAGCTATGGGTTAAATAACAGCAGTTTGAACTCTCTCACTATGGTTGGCAACCAGTGTAGAAGGACAACTCTGAATTGAAAACCATAATGATCAAATCACAAATGTTGACTTTGGCAAGGTTATAATCCCTGAAAGCCACTCCTGCCATCATTAAGACATTGACAGCAGGATTTTGAATGGCAGAACCTAACAAACCAGATTTGGCATTGACCTGCAATGGGGTCATGGAAAAAATTCTTTACACTGGACAATGGATGAGACCAAATCATTCAAAATTAGCTGGAAACTGTTGGAATACATAGAATAGCTGCTTGTGTCTCCTAATATATACACAGCCAAAACTTCTATGATGACACACAAACAGCACCAGGAAGAAGCATGTAGATGCTATAGTGTGTCCTGAAGGATGGCTTTCTTTGTCTATACAAGTTGTACTTGCTTCAGAGCCTTTTAGATTTGAACTTACATTAATGACAGTTTAAAATATTACCAGCATCTATGTTAAAATATATGAGTGTTGAAAAGTTCTTGGCCTAAGCAAGAAGTCTTTCAAAAAATAAATTCTGATATTTGACCAGAAATTGGGAAGTGGGTCAAGCCAAGTATTTTTAGCATCACCGCATATATAAAGTAATCAATATTTTAGCTTGCTTTCAATAATGAAAAAGGTGTCCAGGTTAAGACAATAAACTACATCTGGCATTCTGGGTGAGACGATAAACTACATTCAACTGCAAGCCTCTGATCAGGAGGTTTTGAGGAGCATGGAACCACTTCTTAATTGCTGTTGTTCCCAGGTCCACCCTGACCCGGGGTGGTAGCACCTGTTAGGGCCCCAGCTATGGGCAAATAGTTGCCCTCAAATTGTGGTCAAAACACCATGAAAGTGTAAGAATAGGTTTTAATACCAGCAATGATTTTTTGAAGAAAAAAATTATTACCAGCAATACATTTTTAAAAAAAAAATATTACCAGCAATAAAAATCTTGTCGGCATTAAATAATCCATATGCCATAAACCAAACCAAATCAATAATGAAAAAGAAACTTTAATCTTTTATAAGTTAATTATATTTTAAGTCTTGATTTCTTTTAATTATTCAAGATGCTTTTTTTTTTTTTTTTTTTTTTTTTTTTTTTTTTTTTTTGTATATAATAAATATTAATTGAAAACTGAGAAGATATATTTAATGAGATAAAGTAATACATAGCAAAAGTAACAAGTCTATGGATAAGAAAAAATGTATAATTTTAAATATATCTAGAAATATCATGCTGCGTTTCATGGAAATAGTTGGATTGAAATTCTTAATATCTTCTTTATAGATTCTTTAATCTCAATAGTAGTTCTTGGTTTGGGATTGTCCAAAGAATAAGATTGTGTTTAAATTGAAACTGTTTTTTTTTTTTTTTTTTTTTTTTTATCAACAATTCAGTGTGCTGAAGGCAAGGATTATGGCAACTGTTTCATAGGAGACACATTTCTCCTGCTTGTTTATTGTGGGTGGGGTTTGTGTCTGCTCAGGTGAAAGCGAAAACACAATTGAACAAAATACTTCTCAATAATTTGTTATAACCCAACCCTTTTCTTGCTTTCAAATCACATAGGTTTTTATCTTACCAATTTTCTTCCTCTTTAATAGTATTTATACATTTGAATAAAAATTACATATTTTGAATAAATATTTGTTTTGAATAATCTTGTTTGAATTGTCTACATGTAATATTTTGATTCAGTAAATGATTAGGGCTAGTATTCATTTTCATTGATTACTTTAATTGTTTCTCTAGCATTCTTCAGGTGTATGTTGAAATCTGGTAATCCTCATCATTTATATCTTTCATCCCAGCAAAAAAGTTTATCAATAATTTCAAAGTTACTAGATTGCAGCATAATACTGAAAATAGTGAGAAGGCCCATCAGCCTGATTGCAGTGAGTGGAACAATGATGAGGATATTAGTCTGAATAATACAGCTCAAAAATTTACACACACAGTGCGATGGATAAATTGTCATTCACCACATTGTCCTATCCACCTCAGCTCAAAAAAAGAAAAAGGATGTTACTTTTGCCACATACTGTATATAAATTATCAATAGCTTAAAACATTTCTTACTACTATAAAAATTATACATATAAATATGTGAAATTAATGTCTACCAGCCTAATGATCAGAAGTTTGTTTTAAGAAAGAAAATATGCAACCCATCAGGAATCATGTTTACAAGGTGTGATGGATAAATTGTTATCTAAATTATGCAAAAATGAAAATAACACTGACATCTCATTTTAAGATATATTTACCAAAATTTGCACAAAAATATCTTGAAATACTAAAGAGTCAATTTATTTAATAAAGTTACGATTGGCTTCAACCATAGCCTCCAGACCACTTCAGAATATCCTGTAACGCTCCTGGATAGTCTTCTTGTTTAAGTTGGTGAATGTTGCCATAATCCTTGCCTTCAGTTTATCTTTGGTGTTGCAAGGAGTTTTGTTGGTCTCATGTTCAACTAGGCTGCACACCTAATAATCAAGTGGGTTGCAGTCTGGAGAGTTAAGTGGCCAGACGTAAGGGGTGATGTGTTCAAAGAAATTGTCTGACAGCCATGACTGGGTTCTCCTACTTGTGTAGCATAGTGCAGAATCCTGTTGCCAGACATATAGTCTTCCAGCAGCCACCCTCTTGACCTAGAGCAGTACTACCTCTTTAAGGCTCCATGTTGAGTTTGAGGCCTTGTGGGAAGATGAATGGAGGCATAATGTTGCCATCACTAATGATCACTCCAAACACTATATTGACTGGATATATCATACAACTCCTTCCAAATTCTCTGCACTGTCCTCAGATTGATACCCAAACACTCTGAAATGTTCAAATTGGAGCATGTCATTTCCAAATTTCTGGTGGAGTGAATTGCATCATGTTGCTGTTTTTCTCACAAACAGTATCCAACTGACCCTTCTACACTGTGCAGTCAATAAAATCAAAAACAAACAATGCACAAACTTAAATATATAAAACAGCGACAATTTACCCATTGCATTCCTGTATAATAGCTGTATTTTTGAGCAGCAAACTCTCTTTAACACATGTTTTTTTAAAAAAATAACTGACCAAGAGATTTCTTTTTTTTTTTTTTTTTTTTTAGACATAGTGTATGGTGGGAAATTATCCAAATGATTTGTTGTTCCAAATGGTTTTGGTTAATTTATTAACCATTTTCAAAGATTTCTGGCTCTGCTACTGCAATGGTTTGTAGATTGTTGAAGCATAGATGTTTTTTAAATACCAAAGTATATATTTTTTTAACTTTATTCCATTGTTCAATTTATTCATTTTACACTGTCTATGGATTGTGTGTATTTCTTGTGGGAAGTTTCTGGAGTGCTATTGTTAATATAACATTAGTTTTTGGTATTGAATGCAATATTGTAATTTTGGAAACATAAAAGGCTGCATTAGTATTTTTTATATATATATATATATATATATATATATATATATATATATATATTCTTTAATCATTTAATCCTCAAGAAAGGCAATAAAGCCACTAAGGCATAACAGGGTTGCTGAGAGTGAGAAAAAGGAAACATTGAGGAATGAGAATAATCAAAGAACAGGAATTAAGAATGATTAATTTAGATAATGATTGATATTAAATTTAATATTTTGGAAGCAGGAAGAGAGTTTGAGAAGTGCAAGAGAAAGAACTGTTAGTTTAGGATTTCTTCTAGCCATTTCAACTGTAAAATGATGAGACCTTGCCACTAATCTAGTATTGTGCTTACATTCATAAAATCAAGTTACCATAGATGAAAGTTTATTGGAACAATTACCATGAAAACATCTATAGAAAAAAGAACAGAGAAGCTACATTATGATGCTGGGAAAATCTTTTTGTATTTTATTTTGAATCTCTAAATACATAACAGAAGCATCAAACCAGATGTGGCAAAAATGTTCAATTATAACTAACCTTGGTAAATATCTTTTACAAATATTTATAGGAATTTATTCTCCAGTGTTACTGGTATCTTATCTCCTGTTACAGCAAACAAAAAAAAATGTTATATTTGAAAGGAAAAATCAAACAACCTAAAAAAAAAAAAATAGATATTTGTGTGTGTATATATATATATATATATATATATATATATATATATATATATACACACAAATTTGACAGTATGAAAGGAATTTACTTAAAATAAATAGACAAAACTTGTCTATATTATTTAACAAAACATGCATTAATATATATACATATATATTGTAATTATGTACTATTTTTCTTTTTCATCTAAAAAAAGCATTGATTGAAACATTTGTTTAAATGTTTTATTTCTTTAGACATCAGATGAAGCAGTATCTGATCTTTCGTCCTTATCAGACGAATCCACAGAAGTCCACCAATGCTATGAGGATCAGCTAGCACAAGCAGTGGTTTCTAAGGTAACAAATCTAATTTCTTCTTTTATTCTATTAGTCTTCCCTGGTGAAACCTTTGGAACACAGCTACCAGGAATAATGCTCATCAAATTACAAATTGCATTGGTTCAAAGCCGAATGACATGTTGTACATAAGTGGGAGGGATAATACAAAATTAGATGTATGAAATTGGTGAGTGTGTGTGTGTGCATAGTCTTTCAGAGGAGAAAATGCACCAGCAAAAATAAGTTTTCTTTTGTCTTATATATAATGAAATAAGGAACAAATAGGAAATGTTTTATAAATTTAACATGTCACTTTTGTTTAAGTGAAACATGTTAAATTTACGTTTCCAATTTTTTCCTCATCCTATCATTCCATCAGATTTTAATCCATATTTGATCTAAAATCATATATGTGTGTGTTTGTGTGTGTTATAGACATAGGAATTAGCAGTGCATGGTGTTTGTCACTGTCATCTTCAGTTGTCTGAAGACCATATTGAAACATGAAACTGACAATCACCAGTGTTGAGTCCTATATCCATTGAGGTTTCCCTGCATGCTAATGTTCTTTCCTCCCTGAATGGCATGGCTAATCAGAAAAATCACTCTGTGAATAAAGTCTGTTTTTTTTTTTTGTTTTTTTTTTTTTTTGCTTACTGGGAGAATGATTTTTTTGAGATTGGTGGACAAACATGCCTTTTTGCTGTTGTGAAGTGAAGGTGGGATTTCTGACCGTTTTGTCATTACTACATTCCCCCTTTGGACTGTTACAACAGATTTTCGATTGAACTTTGAATTGGCTACAAGTGTCGTGGATGAGAGAGACACAAGAGACTGATTGCAGGTATTAATTGCTACAATAAGTTTAAAGTTTTGTTTGTTTTTATTTTCCTGCTACAATCACCATGCAGGGTTGAGTCCTATATCCATTCTGTATATTTATATGAACTCTAATTTCACTGTGGAGCCCTCTTCTATCAATATAATATTTTAAATTTATATACATCTATATATATATATATATATATCTTGTTTTAAAGATCCAAGAAGATAGAATAGATGCTTTATTTTGGTACCAGGTACCACTTAATGTAAAATTATTTTGACTAAACAAAGTTGACCAATCTTACTCAGTTTTGTTAAATAACCAACATAAAATTTTTCAACGAGGTATAGAGTGAACTTGTACTTTTCTTCTATTTCAACTTACGTATGTGCATATCATCCCATATTTATTTTCCTGACTTGGCTCTTTTTCCAGGTGTAACAGCTTTTTATTACTTTCACTGAGGCAGATCAAGTCGTTATGGGGAAAGTTTTGTTCTCAAGGGCATGTGCATTCATCCTTTTTCACTGTCAAACACTGTAGAATGGCAGTGATAAGGCATTTTCTCCAGTTATTAGGCAGTGGGTCTGTGGACTAAAAATTGGATTCCGGCATTTCTCAAAATTACAACTACTTGTTATTTATCATAATGCAACTTGAGTTTCAGCAAGTGTTTTTTTTTTTTTTTTTCTATAGACTGTGTTCCGAAGCCAGTACCATTTTCTAGGTCATTTACCCTCACACCCTGATCACAGGTGTTTGAAATCTCAATTGCTCAGTACTTGACAATTTCCCTTCTTTACTCTATACAACTCTACGACTTTTAATAAAAACCATCATGTGATTTTTATTCATGACACCTGTTTGGATCCACACCTGATTGGAGAGTCAATATACATTTATTGGCTGCATAACAATTATTACAATCAATCACACTCTAATTATCCTGTTCATCCTTTGTTGTTAAAGGTAATCATGATTTTGGTTCTGGCTGATGCTGCAGTGAGTCCATTAATGTCTAATGAGGCTGTTCGGTATATGGGAAATATATTTGTAAATGATGTGGCTGAAGCAACAGTAGCTTACACATGATGCATTTCCTCTCAGTTTTGGCAGTTCTCCTTGTTTCTAGTGTATAAGCCTATTTTTGTGATCTTGCTTAGGCAGACTTAGACAGTTTTTAGCCTAGTTATCTTTGAAGTTGACATAAATGTTTGGGTCTTTGAGAGATGACTTCAGAGTAGTAATATTAAAGATGGTGTGAATCAGATTAAAATGAATAAGACTAAAACAACAAAATTATGTCTATGGATTATGTCTTGCCAGAATATTTTTCTAAAAAATTGAATTTACCCCAAGCAAAGCAGTAAAGTCACTAAGACACAAGAGGTTACTGGGTGTGAAAGAATTGGAAAACAAATGTTATTAAAGAGTGAGAACAGTAGAAGAATGATCAGGAAGACAGTAGATAATGATTGACATTGCATTTAAGTTTTTGAAGACTTGTCTGGAAAGCATAGTCAGAAGAGTGTCCCATAAGTGAGACATGCGAGAAAAGAAACTGTTAGTATAGGACTTAGGGTTACGTCTAGCCAAGTTAACTTTGATGAGACCTTGTTGCCAATCTAGTATTGTGCTTAAACTCATAAAGTCAGGGTACCATATCAAAGAACCCATCTGAACCATCAAAGTATTTATAGAAAAGCCAACTTTACCATGGTGGGAAAGTGACTGAAGCTGAGATGTCAGGTCAGGACCAATAATATTGCTGATTCTTTGCCATTAAACAAATACATACTTTCTGTTAATAATTCCTGCATCAAGAGATGCAGAAAAGGATATGGGCAAGCCAAATTCTGGCTGAGACAATTTTTGTTCATTTTTCACTTATGCCCTTGGAAAGGCATGAACCCAACTTTTTTTTTAGTTATGCATTAAATAGCAGGGTACACTTTGCTCTTCAACCCGTCTAGAAGTAAGACAACTTTGAACTCAAAAACATGGAGATGGTAACAGGAAAGCACTCGACTATCTTTCCCTAAGGACAAATTAAATATGCCTTATTTAGTTAAATTAAATTTATTAATCTTCCTTACCATTAGAAAAAGCCAATACTTTATTTTGGTAAATAAATTCAAATATATTAAACTATGACACAAGTTGGCCTACTCAAGACTTGTTTTTTTTTTTCTCTATACTGCTATATGATGCATTTGTGCATCATTTTTAAAAATGGCTATATAAGCGAAAGAAGAAAATGACATTGAAAATAGTTATGTTGCAATTACTGTCAATAAAATTGGAATGAATGCACATTATACAATATGCCACAAAAATGCATGTCATTTCTGTTGTTAATCTCACTAAGAGTGCAAAATATAGGAAACTGTGGAGAGCCACGATCACACATGTCCTGAAGGAACATGGTATATAGAAGATGATATCTTTAAATTTTTGTAGTCATTCTACATGATTCCCTAATATGCAGATAATACTAGGAAGTGCTAAAAAGATTTGAGCTTGACTTGCTTCCAAAAATCAATAAACAGTATGACCAGACATAAAGAAATTGATTTTTGAGAAGTTGGTTGATCTGATGGCTTTTCAAATTCTTTTATAATATCATCATGGCTAATATCAATACAAAAAATTAGTTGGTATTTATAAATTTTCTTTTCATAATTATTTAAATGCGATAAAATTTTTTCTTTATGATTTCCAGAAAAAGGCTGATTTACTTGTCAGTCTACAGAGTAGCTGTTGTAGGTTTGATCGAGTTTGCTTGATGTTCTTTATCATTATATGAGAAGTTAAACAAGCAAGCATAGTCATAGGTCATTTCATATCAATGTATAGACTATATTAATCAATATCATGGTGGTTATGTAGGATATGGAAATAGACATAAAATTTTAAAGTTATTATTTACATTACGTATATTCAGAATATTCTCCTCATCTTTGTTATTATCAGTGGAAATGGGAAAGAGCCACTGAACAGTACTAAATAAGAGTACTACAGGACAATGGCCTAGTGGATAAAAGCATTGATTTGTGAATTTAGTGACATAGTGATTATGAGTTCAATCCCTGGGTCAGGCAGTGTGTACTTGCACTCAGTGGAAATGGGTGATCAGTAACTGAACAGTACTAAATGAAATGAGTCTATCCCCGTAAATTAAATAATGGATTCAGTTCTGAATTCCTTGTAGGTTACCTAGATCAATATACACCTGTAGAAGGCTGGAGTAATGGCTGAAACATTGTCATAATGCCAACAAAGATACTCTGCATATAAATAGTATAACTGATAATTTATCTCAGAAATTGAGACAAAACATTTTAAAGTTACTAATTTGCTAAAGTTATCATTCCAAGAGTTGTTTAGACCATTGAATGCATTCTTTCTCCATCCCCCTCCCAGATCCATTCTTAGGGTATTAGCATCTGTAAAGAAAAGGCAAAGATTTCTGTTTTTTTTTTTTTTTTTTTTTTGTCTGGAGAAAATGGAAGCCACCAGTAACAATAAAAAAAGTGTAATAACAAAAACCACAAAAACTTAAATCAAAAGTTAAATCAAATTTGGAGAAACACTAAACTTAACATTTTTATAAGTAGAAATGATTATTCACATGTAAGCGTCTCCTTTTATAACATTTTTTGTGGACTGTTATGGGTGACTTTTTTTTTTTTTTTTTTTTTTTTAAATATGATGGAGATAAAGGAATAACTCCAACTCAACTACCAGGGAACTTTTGATTTCATCGTTCATGCTTACCTTGTAGTTAAGATTAATTGTAACATGGCGGTTTTCTTTTTCTTTTTCTTTTTTTTTTTTTTTTTTTTTCTTTTCAGTATTTCTACATATTTTTTTCTTTTGTAGAAATCAATATTCCTTCTGGAATGATTGATCAATATGCAAATGCAAAGCTTCATTCTGTGATTTAAAAAGAGAATCTTGCATTTAGTTTCAATAATGACAAAAGTAATTGGGAACTTCTTGTATTGTTAATTATTTTAATTGCAATAAAATGAAGTACTTCATCAAAATGGAATAATAAAAAAAAAAACCAGAAAATTAAAGTTACATTGCACATAAGCATTAAATCTTGAAAATAAACTTTCTACAGGTTTCTATCAATGTAACTTCATTTTTTTCTACTTCATTTTTATTGTTAACAGAATAAGACTTTCTGCTGAAACTGAAACAAATGATTTGAGCCATTTTACCTTTTTCAAAAAAAAATTATATTAATAGCAGAAATTATAAATTTTCCCCTTACTTTTTAGCAATTTTACAGTTTAAGTGCAGCATGTTTTCTGTAGTAATGAAATTCTACTAATATTTTAAAACTATATTAAATTATTAAGTAATAATATTTTTAATCTGTAGAATATCAATTATGCATGGAGATTTTAATACAGTTGCATTTATCTGTCTATATTTCTGAGTTGAGGAATTATGTACACTATTTACATTATTCGAACCATTGTCTTCATCTTTGTTGCCATGTTTATCACAGCTGTCATATGCTCCGCCCTTCTTCAGGTGGTTGGAATGTCGAACTGAAGCATTATTTTGCTCACTGGGGTAGACTGTTCTAGTTCCATGTGCCATGTCTAATGGATGTCAGTTATCTCCTGTTAATTCCCCTCTCAAAGTTCTCCACCACCTTAGCCAGGTATTGAACTCACACTCTTTGGGTCCTGTTACTAAAGGACACATGGCACAGTGGATAAAGGTGTTGGTTAGATCCAGTAGCAGGACCCAAAGAATGTGAGTTCAGTACCTGCTTAAGGCGATGGAGAACTTTGAGAGGGGAATTAACAGGAGATAACTGACATCCATTAGACATGGCACATGGAACTAGAACAGTCTACCCCAGTAAGTGAAATAAAGGGTTCAGTTCAACATTCCAACCAACTGAAGAAGGCCGGAGTGTACAATGGCTGAAACATTGTGATAAACATGGCGACAAAGATGAGGACAATAGTCAGAACAATGTAAATAGTTGCATTTATTTTCAACAAACCACAACTTGAATTTATTGAAACTAATGTTTTGCTTTTAGTTGTTGCTTAAGCTTTTTTGACAATCGAAGATTTTTTTTAATTTTTTTTTTTTTTTATGAGTTGCAAATTCAATTCATATTTCACATCCAATTCTGCAGGGTGAAGTCATGTTTAGCTGGTCACAAATTGACCAGGTTGCATTTCCAACAGATTGAGGTTTCAGGTTTTGTTCTTAAAATTATTTTTTGATACTAAACATAAAACTTAAATTAAGATTTTTAAAACAAATTTTCTTTCTACAGGTTATTGAAAATCAGAGACGAGAGGGAATGCTAAATCCTCAAGAACGGGTTCAGGAAATTCTTGAAGCAACAAATGCATCAACAGAAGCCAGTCAAGTGCCACAATCACCTGATGACACTGCTGCCAAAATCTTTGCTGAACTCAAATCTTACACAAAGTCTTTACCTGGTCGGAAATTACCAAAGCCACTTCAGGTAGAAGAAATTGTCATCCCTTATGAGCCACCAATTGAAAAGAAATTTGTAAGTCGGGTGAAGTCCCCTAATCAAACACCAAGCCTTAACCTTACAAGTCGGGACTTGGCAGACAGGTCACATTGTACTTTACCCAATCTTGATGAGTTGGATTTTGAATCAAAAGAGATTGACCCAGACTTGTTGTCACTCAATTTGACTCCAATTAAAGAAGTTGATGAAGAGATTGAGGACATGATAGACTTAAGTGCTGGTAATTCACTCAACTGGCACCAGAATTGGATCCTTCGTGATTTGAGCTCTAAGAAGAGAGTTGAGGAGATTTCGCAAAACCACCCTGTGTTGGTGCCTCAACCTGAAGAAGTCTTGTCACCCAAGATTGGGAACAAGTATGTTTGCATGTTTGTTTTAATTGTACTTTAGAATTTTTAAACTTTTAATTTAACTTTATATATATTTGATGTTATTTTCTCTAATTTGATCCAAATTTGTAATACTTAAGCTATATTAATTTCTTGGCTAAAGAATTTACAGGCAAATCAGTAATTAATAACAAGAAATGAATTGTCATAGTATTTGGCTACACATATTTACTTGAATAAGTGTCCTTCTCTTGGTTGTTATGGGCATAACATTTCAAGAGTTGTACATTTTGGCCTTCTTCAGGTAACTGTTGTAGTTAGTTATCTTCTGGAAGTGTTGGACAAAACCTTTTATTTAATCCATTTTCTTATTTTGCCATCCATGAGTAATAAAATGTGTGTGTGTGTGTATGAGAGGGAGAGAGATATAAACACATACATGTACCTACTGATTCATACCTTATGTATATATTGTACATATTTGACTCTCTCTAGAACAGGTGTGTCAAACTTGTAGCCCACGAGCTGCATGCAGCCTTTTACATGCATCTTGGCGGCCCTCACAAAGATTTCTACTGCCATGGTATATCGAGAATCTTGTTTATGTCAGTAATGCAAATTATTAAAAACTGAGATTTTTTTTCAATTGCTATGATTAGATTGTTTATTCTATCTCAATGTTTTTTAGTTTTTTGGATGTCAGCGACTATTTTTAATTTCTTTCACAACTAAATAAGAACAAATGTAAAGTGAAAACATTCGTAAATTTGTAATATTCTGCCTTAAAAATGTCGAATTCTACTCCATCTTGTAAAAAGAGAAAATTATTTGAAGAAGGACATGTGTTTCAAGAAAAGTGGGAATTACAATACTTTTGTACAACTGTAAATGGAAAGATAAACTGTTTGATTTGCAACCACTGCATTACGACGCCAAAAGAATATAATGTGAAAAGACATTATGAAACAAACAATTGATCTCATGATAAATATGAAGATATGCAGGTTTCAAAAGTGAAGGAATTCAAGGTTAAGTTAACACAGCAACAGAGTTGCTTTACAAAAATTCAGAAAGGCAATGTTAGTTCTGTTACTGCAAGCTTTGAACTCTGCAAAATGATTGCCATCAGTGGAAAATCTTACAGTGAAGGAGATTTCATAAAACGATGTCTTGTAAAAACAGCTGAAATTGTATGTCTAGAGAAGTCACACTTATTTCAAGACATTTCATTAAGCAGGAACACTGTTGCTGAACAGATTGATGTAATGGCAGGTGATTTGAGTCAACAGTTGAAGACTTTATCATCAGGTTTTGAACATTTTTCTATTGCTCTGGATGAGACTGTTGACAGATCTGGAATAGCACAGCTCGCCATTTTCATCAGGGCTTGTGACAATGAATTTCAAATTTATGAAGAACTAATTGAACTGGTCCCAATGTATGATACTACAATAAGCCAGGACATTTTTGAGAAAGTTGAACAGCTTCTCCATGAGTATGGCCTTAATTTGAGTAAATTTGTGTGTTTATCTACTGATGGTGCTGTCAATATGTTTGGGAGACATAATGGTGTTGCTGCCAAGTTAGGTACAAAATTAGAAAATGTATATCCAGATTCAAGCAAAAATTAGATTATGTGTTGCGTTGTCACAAAAACAGTGAGGTATATCAGATGTCATGCTCTGCATCGCCATCAGTTTAGCCAGTTATTGAAAGATGTGAATAATTAGTTCACAGATGTCCCATTCTACACAGAAGTTCATTGGCTTTCATGTCACAAGGTACTGAAAAGATTTTTTATTGCTACATGAAATTGTTTTTGGAGATGAAGGGTCAAAGCCCAGATAAATTGGAAGATGAAAGCTGGCCTCAAGATCTAGTTTCTCATTGGATATTACTGCCCAATTAAGTGATCTTAATTTGAAATTACAATGTAAAAATAAGCTCATCACTCAGTTATATGATGGTATCAAGTGTTACATTGCAAAATTAGCTTTATTGAAGTCTCAGTTGTTACATGAAAACTTGATTCATTTTACTATGTGTAAGGAGTTGAAAAAAAACTGCCAATAATGAGTTTGTATTTATCTTTGCCAAGGACAACAATTACCTGGAATTACTGTCAAAGGAATTTCAGCAAAGATTTTGTGATTTTTTTATCTTGTGAAGATCAGTTTGCATTATTCTCAGTACCATTCATTTTTAATGTTGCTCAGGCAGAGGAAAGTCTACAGCTGGAACTACTGGAAATGTAGACTGACTCAGCACTCAAGGGAAAGTACCTAGAAATAGGGATACCTGGATTTTTTTTCATACCTTCCTCAGGCATTTAAGAACTTCAGAAAGTTTGCCACAAAGATTATTGTGATATTTGGTTCCACATATGTCTGTGAATAGTTATTTTCGTTTATGAAGGCCACAAAAATGTCTCACAGAACCAGATTAACTGATGAACATTTGTCATCCTTATATGAAAGTGTGATGTACACAGACATTACAATCTGATATATCAAGAATAGTTTGTCTAAAGCAATGTCAATCATCAGGAAAACATAAAAATGATTAAATTGTACTACCTTGTATTGTAAGTATTTTGTATTTAAAGTTTAGTTACCACTAGCTGTGATTAATGTAAGACTATAAGTAGGTGCAACCCTTGAGGCTGCAGATATTGTTGATACGGCCCTGCATATGCCTGACATGGATTTTGCTGTCATAAGTTTCCTTATGACTCACAGATCCATTAATAATTCTACTGGAATAAAAAAAAAAAAAAACCTCTTTGCCATCCAATAATTCCACCAGTTCAGACTTTTACAGTTAAGACCCACCATCCCACATATACAGGGTCTAAGCATTCTTCTTCCTTCCGTATTCTATGAGTAAGAAGGAAATTCCATTTGAACATCTTTCCAAAATCCGCTACTTTGTGGAACAGACTCCCAAGAGGATGCTTCCCCAATCATTATAATCTTTAACTCTTCAAGTCTTGAGTCAGCTGTTATCTAATTTCAACAACCTCATTCAGTAACCCTCTACCTTGAGTGGTTCTTGGGCCTTGTGTTGAGTGAATAGTTATAAAATAGCAATCAATAGTGTTAATTATCAAAGTTTCAATAAAGTTAATACCTAGTAAATATAACCTGTATTTAGTCGCATATAGCTTTGTTGCTTTTTCCTCTGTTGTGTTATTGCAGGGAAATGTGCAGTTTGGTAAAAGATTTTCTTTTTGTATTTTCTAAAGTTCTTGAAAATGAAATTTGTTTTTTCATCAAGCATGGTGTGTGGAATAATCTGAGAAGCAATGAAGTAGTAATCATTAAGCAATGTTTCGGGATCTTGGAAGGATTTATTAGGGAATTCAATTTTAATTCAAATCTGTACTCTCTTAGAGAAATAAGGCTGACACTCTCACTGTGGTGAGAACGTGATTGCGGTACCAGTAGATTGTGAGAAAAGAATCAGTTTTTTGTTTTAATCTCTACTTGAAAGAATTACATGGCATGCATCACACAAGAATGAAAAAACAAAAAAAAAAACACTATTTATGACCAGAAAGATTGACCCTAAAGTTACAAAAGGATTGGGGAATAACTTCAGGGGAAGCCCTTGGGTGCTTGTTGCACAAGTCAGTGGGACAAAATATAGAGTTGTAAGAGATGTCATTTTATTGATCCCATGCTAAGTGTACATGAAATGAGAGAAATTCAAGTGAAGAACAAGTAGAAGAGATTGATAGTTGACATTTTTTTTTTCATGATTGTTCTGTGGATCTGGAAGAGTGACTTTATGGAAGGCAAGAAGAAAAATGTGTTTAGTTATGTTGAGGGGGGGTATTTTTAAAGATGTGTTCAGTGAATTTGGTGCTAATGGATAATGGAACTGCCTTTTACTCAGAATTGTAGGATATGTTTGAAAAGTGGAACACTAACATAAAGACTGAGTAGTAATAGGATCAAAGAGAGTTATTATTGAGGGACCCTAAGCCATAGCAGGAAAAGGTAATGTTTTGGTATATCATGTGGAGGAATCTGTGCCTCAAAGAACAGTGTTCAAGTATAAATAGAAGTGTCCAAGCATAGTACCATTGACAGTTGTTAAAGATGAGGAGAGATTGTTACAAAAGGATTTCTGTCTATAAGATCAAGAGAATATGAGAGATGGGAGAAAGAAAATTCTTCCAGTATAAATAGAAATTTATTTCTTTTATTCTTTCTTTTTTTTTTTTTTTGCTCTGTATTTTGTCATTTATTCTTGGGTTTATCAGTGATCTTTAGATCAGAAGTGCATGTCATATAAACTAAGGAGGAAGGCATGTTGCGGGGACAGGGGTTAATGTAAATTGATGGTGAGATAGTGGGTGCACAAGAAATGGGATAGGAATCAAAAGTCAGTTGTTTTGCTGGAACAGTATTTTGCATAATTTTTTCTTTGTGATTGCAGAAATATTTGTATAGGTTTAATACTTTCTCTTTGAATTCTGCATCTTCTGGGTTCTGGTGTCGGAGGCCATATTGGGTTATTTTAGCAAGACTATTTCTTTGTATTTGGATTATTGACCAAACTAAGCATACATATTTAAGGTTATAAATATAAATGTGTTAAATAGTATGTCTTATTTCTGTATTCAAAACTGTTACCTGTTCTACAATGCAAAAATGTAGGTGGTTTAATGATAACACCTCAGAATGAGAAACTGGAGAGACAAGCTTGAATTTCAGTTGGATTCGTTAAATTCACTTATGCACAAATAGCCTTAAGTACTGATATTTAGTCAGATATCCACTAACAAATGTTTTTAACTTTCCAATATAATCAATATAAACTACTTTTAATATATTAATTTTTATCTGAAATTTTCACTGTAAAATGTTTGATTTCTGGAGAAACCTTGAGTTTAATCTAGATCAGTCATTTTACCATGAAAATTTCAGATCAAATTTCAGATATTAACTGTCAGGTGATAGACTCATTAAATTACTCTTATGTTTTTATTAGCTGAAAGAAACCTTTTAAAATATATTTTA